ATAGACCTATTCCTAGAGCTTATCAAGTCAAAGCCAACTTGCTGAATTTCTCCTGGATGAATGGGGAGCTCGTGCAGACTCAGAAGCACAGATGTCATGTGTGCCCCTGGGGAAACACCACTGAGTCAACGGGCAGCTGAATTCTGTGTCTGCTGGAGTTTGGAGTGGTCTTTGGCAATAGTTGTATGTAGAGTGTATCTCAGTGCTCCGTTCCAGACGTGAGAACGGCTTGGAAAGCCATGGCGAGATCCATGACCGAAAGACAGGGCCACAGCCCAGCAGCGGAAATAAGGAGACACATTTCATAGCGATCATCTGGGGCTGTCAAAGTGTAATTCACTTTTGAAGAAGGCTTCTAACTTTTTTGTTTCAAAATGCCCTGGTTTAACATCCTGCTGCTGGCTGGGACTGGATATACATGAAATCGTACAAAAGGCAGGTGGCTACGTGTTGTAGAAGTTGGAGTTTCTGACACACTTTCACCAGCAGTCCCAGATAGAGGAAGCTACAATAGTCTAATCTGGTGATGGTGGTAGCAAGTATCACAGTGGGAGAGGAATGAAGAGTCTCCTTGCCAGCCATAGGTGGACTAAAGCAACAGTAGCAGGCAATGCAATCTGTGTGACCAGGAGCAAGGAAGATCCAGGAGAAACTCTATTCTGCATATTATCTTTCTGTTTGGACATGGTGCTTACATCATGAAACCAACACCTGTTTAAATGTGTAGCACTATCCGCCTTATTCCATCCTTGCACATGAATGGAATGTCCAGCCAGAGCAGATAAATCTATCAACTGGATATTTCGGCAAAAATTAATAGTATTGGAATAACCAGATTAATGCCTAATAATGACAATTTGAATATCAGAGTTAATACCAGCCTGTGATGAATAGCACAGTCAATATTAGAGCCAGGCAAAAAATGTTAATTCATTCACAAAGTAAGGGGGGAGGGCGGCACACAGGGAAACTCCCCGCCCCAGCTCACCTCTATTCGGCCTCCTCCTGTTACCACACCATCCCGCTCAAACAGCTGATTGGCGCCACAAGCCTGGGAGGCGGGAGAAGTGGAGCAGCGACGGTGTGCTCAGGGAGGAGGTGGAGCAGAGGTGAGCTGGGGTGGGGAACTGCCGCACGGCTCCCCAGGCGGGGAGGGGAGCTGCCACAGGGGGGACGCCTCAGGGTGGGGGGGAGCTGCCGCAGGGCTCGGGGAGGGGGTGGAGCAGAGGTAAGCTCGGGTGGGGAGCTGCCGCACAGCTCCCCGGGCTGGGGGGAGTGGGGAGCTGCTGCAGGGGGTGGCACCTCGGCGGAGGGAGGGGTGGGGAGCTGCCGCAGGGCTCAGGGAGGGGGGAGGGCGCAAGGTGGAAGTTTTGCCTAGGGCACGAAACATCCTTGCACCAGCCCTGTCCCTGGCTGCTGCTGGTCCTTACAGAGCTGGCTGGTCATGTGGTGCTGGCATGAGCTACGTTAAAAGAAGCTAAAATATATGTACTTTCCTAATATCACTTTGCATTGTAAGCAATTGCTGTAGTTGCCATAGCAGTGCTGTGTGATCACAAATGAGAGAGGAGGTGGTCCATGCCATTGTGGAGGGAAGAGATTAGTGCACATGGTGTGATCCATGCTAGAAAAAATTTCAGAACCCTGAACTATGATGTCACCATAATAAATACATATTTGTACAAAAGAAAAACGCCCCAGATAATGGTATCATGTTCCCATGTTGTTTGTAAAATTGTACCCCTAGTATGGATAACAGAGGGTGAACTGACCTGTCCCGTTCGTACTTGTATGCAGCATCCACCAGCTCCTTGGCTTCATTCGTGCTGCTCAGAAAGAATGGATCTGGCAGCGTCTCCAAGATATCTAGTCCAAAGAGAGGAAAGAGCAGGACATGAGGACAACTCCTTCCCACCAGCTCACTGCACAGACCCAAGGTGAAAGGAGCACATGTCTTCTCCTTCGTGCTGTGAACTTGCTGGATTAACCTTTAGGCACTTAAAGCCAAGACTGACTTTTGATTGAGAATTTGATTGAGAAAGTTGTTCATATATAATAGATCCATAGAAAAAGGTTCAAAGATCTAAAGAAGGGGAGACATGAAGGGAAGTTAAACTTGGGGGTAACTGGGTGAAATTGAATGGCCTGTTCATATAGGTGAGGTCACACTAAATGATCTAATGGTCCCTTCTGGCCTTATACTCTATGAATCATAGAGCTCTTGATTCTCCAATTCTCAAGAGGACCAGGATGTGTTCCAGGAAGGAAATTAATAGGTAGAAATTTTTGGATAGCCAGCCATTCTTCAGCTCTCAGCTGAAGCTGACCGGGTCTGCATCTGCTTTCCTAATTCTCTCTGCTCCCCCAAGACCTATGGCCAGTTATCTGAGGCCCCAGTCATCCAAGACACAGCCCAGTTCTCCTCAGGCTCAATCCCTGCTACCAACTGAGGTCCTACCAATATTGACAACCCCACGGGTTCAAAAATCATGAGTCATGTAAAAAACACATGATGTTGGCTTAAAACACATGAGAAGTTGAAGGTTTTTATGTTGGGAGAGTGGAATAAGGTTATTAGCTTTCTGGTTTCAGAGCTTTTAAGGGGAAGCTATTCACCCTCATTTCAGGTTCAAAATTCAACCTAAAAAGTAAGCCTTCCAGCTGGTGGCTTCCAGATGCCTGCTCCAGCCCCCTGGAGTTGGGAAGCTCCCATTCTAGTGTAATACTTGCTTTTATTCTCTCCGCTCCCTTATTATTCCCTTAAGGCCCGGCTTGACAAAGCCCTGGCTGGGATGATTTAGCTGGGAATTGGTCCTGCTTTGAGCAGGGGGTTGGACTAGATGACCTCTTGAGGTCCCTTCCAACTCTGATATTCTATGATTCTATGATTCTATTCATAAGGTGGGCAGCACTGGTCCTCACCTTGGTTACCTAGAGTTGTCAGCAAACCTTGTGTAATAACTGTGACTCAATTTCCTTATCCCGAAGACTGCAGACAAAGCTGGGTGGGTCCGATTGCAAGCCTACATCTTCCATCAATGCAGCTGTAACTTCGCCGTCTTTTTATCCTTCAGAGGCCGACATCAAAATGATGGAATTTAAAACTTCAAATGTCATATTTTTGGCAAGGATATCTTTAGCTATAGGTGTCCTTAGTCAGTAAACTTTCTATATCTTAAGTCTCTAGACTTTCCATACGATGAGTTTACTCAGAAACAGGGATTTGTCAGGGGACGAGTTTGTAGTCAAGAGGTTTTATGCAGGGAAAACTTTCTGTGCTAGAAAGCTGTACACAAAAAAATTTCTGAATGGCCTCCTGCAAATGTTCCATACAAATCTTAAGCACTAAAATTTCCATTGCTCCATGAATCCATTTCTCTCCCCAGACACACCCAAGTGCAGGATCCTGGTCTGCATTCGTTCCCAGCTGACACAATCAGTGTGATAGTGCTAAGAAACCAAGGGCGGGTACAGAGCTCGGGCACTCTGCAGATTCAGGACATGGTGTTTCTAAGATCAGTTTTGGTCTGCGCCAGGGCTAGGACTGCTGAGGAGTGTAGACCCAACTGCCCAACCCTTCCAACAGAGCCTGCAGTGACTCAGCCCTCAGGCATGGGGCAGCAGCCCATCCCTGAGCAGAGCCTGGGTCAGATGACCCTCACTCTCAGGTACTTCCCCAACCCCATCAGAGCTGCAAGTTAGTCTGTGCAACAGCACGAACTGGGCAGTGACCCTCCTGCTGCCGTGCCATGTAACAGACTCTAGATTCCCAGCCCGCCTCTGATCCAGTGCTGGGTCCTGCCCCAGCCTTGCCCATGCCCTACTCTGACCTTGCTCCAGCCCTGACTCCGGCTACGGTACAGTTTGGCTTGTCTACAGACCCTGACCACCTGACTTCAACCTCCACTCCCACCACCAGGCCAGGCTGCCTAGAGCCAGCACCTGACAGCTCCCTATGTAACTTACCCAGACTGTTATTTTGTGTAATTTTTCGTGTCCCCTCTCTAACATAAACAATCCCAGTCTTTTCCGTCTCTCTCCATAAGACAGTTTTGCCATTCCCTAATCATTCTCATTACCCTTCTCTGAAGGCCCTGTAATTATACATTGTCCTTTTTTGAGGTGGGATGGACAACACTAAACACAGTATTCAAGATGAAGGAACTGATTTATATAACAGCCATATTTTCCTTATCCCTCTTCATCCCATTCCTTATGTATCAGAACATCCTGTTTGCTTTTTTCACCACAGCTGTATATTGGGGAAAGGGCTTTATTCAGCTGTTTATAATGAAGCCCAGGTCATGTTCTGAAGTGATATCATTAATTTAGAGCCTTGTACAGTGTTTGAGTATTATTCATTGTTTAACGCTGAATTTCATCTGCCATTCTGTTGCCCATTCACTTAGCTTGGATAGATCTGTCTGAAGTATTTCAGTCTTCCAGGGCTTGACTAACCTGAATAACTTTGTGTCATCTGCATATATATTTCTGTCCACAATGTGCAATTGCTGCTGGAATAGTGTGTCCAGTCCCAGGGTCCACAATTCAAGAAGAATGTTGATAAATTGAAGAGAGGGTCAGCGAACCAGCTGAGCGGCGAACAGCGGAGGCTAACAGAGGGAGTTTGCCTGGGAGTTCGCCTGGGGAGAGCTCACTGAGGCTTTCATCTGCGGGTTTCTCTGAGTAGTTACTGCAACAGCTGAGGAAGCTCTTAAGAGGAAGGTGATATGGAAGGTGAGCGATCAGCTGTTGTAACCTGCACAGGTTGTGCCATGTTTGTCTTTCTTCCACAGGACAGAAGCGACTTTGTCTGTACAAAGTGCAAGCTGGTCTCCATATTGCAAGAGAAGGTTCGAGGGCTGGAGAAACAAGTATCGACTCTGCATTGCATAAGGGAAAATGAAGATTTCCTGGACAGACGTCAGGAGATGCTTCTACGGCCACAACATTCTGAAGATTCAGAGCAGGCACAGCAGGGACAGAACTGCTACAGACTAGGGACCGAATGGCTAGGTAGCAGTTCTGCAGAAAAGGACCTAGGGGTTACAGTGGATGAGAGGCTGGATATGAGTCAACAGTGTGCTCTTGTTGCCAAGAAGGCTAAT